TCTGTGGCTTGTAGGGAGTCATAGTAGGAAAAAGTAGTTCTGAACTCTGATCTCAACCATGGATATTTGTTAGTAAGCATAAGAATAAACCACATAGTTGGCAACGCTTCCTATGTTTGGCTATGGAGGAAAAGATTAACAAGCCTTCCAAACGTCCTGGCAGGATGATAATGGAGAGTAATATAAATACCATGGCAAGATTTAAAGGAATGCCCTAATTGGGCATCTATTCCACCTTGCTTTATGACTGCCCTCCGAGATAATGATTTCATAGTGAGATAATAATCAAATCTGCCAAGGCTAAGGGAAAGGGTAACCTGGCTCATATATTATACATTTGTGCAAGACATCATGGATCCATTTGGGGAGCAATAGATGGCTGACTCTCTCTCTCTCTCTCTCTCTCTCTCTCTCTGTGAGTGAGTGCGTGTTTGTGTGCATTCACACATTCATCCATGCATCTCTTAACACAGTACCAAATGATGCTGCAGGAGATCTGAATCTCAGAGTGATTGAGAGCAAAGTAAGTTACGCTTGTCATCTTTCTAGGACCATAGCAGTAAATGAACCATTTCTGTCTTGAAATTTAATTATGGGGGTGGGACTGCTATTTTTTTTTCATTCTTCCATCTCATTTCGCCAGCCTGATGGAGAAACGCCATCCCCCATTGCTTGTCGGGGGTATATTGGTTAATTAAGGAAAGCAGCTTGAATTGAAGAGATTGGCTACGACTTACGACAGTAACTCTGGTGAGAACTTTTGGGTGCTTTGCCCAATTAACTAAGGTTAAGTATTAGGAGTTATTTAGAAATGGAGCAGCTGTAACGCAAGAAGTATGGTTCTGGGAGGCAGAGGAGAGATGAAGAGAAGGGTGTTAAGGAACTGAATAAGAATATGATTGCACAGGTAATGTCATGGCCCTACTCAGACCGTTGTGTACATTAGAATAGAACAAAAGGATGGAGGACACAGCTTTAGAATCTTTTACATGTATTCCCTTGTCGCTGAAAAAGATTCGTGCTGAAAGGAGCAACATGTTCCCAGTACTCAGAGCTGCTCTTACCTATTACTCTGGAAGATAGATAGATAGATAGATAGATAGATAGATAGATAGAGAGAGAGAGAGAGAGAGAGAGAGAGAGAGAGAGAGAGAGAGAGAAGCAATTAAAGCTGGGAATAAAACCTATGGCTTGTCTGGTGCATATGAATGTATACATGTGTGTATGTATGCACTAGATGACCGTCAGGTTCCTCTCTCACTTGTGACACAGTGGTTGAACTGCAGCCTACACTCTGCTCATGATTCCAGTTTAATCCCAGGCAGTTGGCTCAAGGCTGACTTCGCTTTCCATCCATCTGAGGGCAGTAAATTGAATCCCTAGCTTGCTGTGTGTGTGTGTGTGTGTTCAAAGTGTACCCTGCATTATTAAATTGTAAACTGACTAGAGTGTGCTTTAAGTACTATGGGGCGATATAAAAGCAGCATGTGTTTCTTTTCTTTTCTTTACTTTTCTTTTTTCTTTTCTTTTCTTTTTTCTTTTCACACATTTTTAGTGTCTTTCAAATGCTACTTTTTAATGGGTTTTAAGCCGTTTTTAGAGGCATTCCGACTGGAATTTCCTTGAGATTTATGCTATTCTCTTATCAGTTCTGAGAGATGCTCCTTCAAAATGTAATAGAAAACAACAAATGCTAGTGTAGTAAATTGTTTCTTCAATATCATAATGAGTAATTACAAGCTAATGAAAAGGGAAGGTAAAGATAATTCTGAGAGAGAGCTATTTTCTCTGGAACACTGGACTCTGTTTTAAAGCATGCACTAATTACACTTCCATTCCATTTTCCAGGAATAGTAAATTGGCACTCATCCTTGGTAAAGTACGTGCCTCTCAGTTGTGGCTCTCTTTTTTTCAGGGGGTGGGGAGGTGTAACCATGTGAATGTTTCTTGATAAAAAAACCCATGTCTCAGCAGAATCTGACAGCTTAGTTCCCATCACTGCCAGATTTTTTTTATTATTATTATTATTATTATTATTATTA